GAGTCCCTTACAGGAACGGACTCCAATCCAAAAGAATGAAACCTAACGGATAATTACAAAAGGCTTTAGAAACAAAGTCCCATAAAGAAGTATTAAATCTAATGTGATCCCAAACATAACAGAGCCTCATAAAGAAGTATTAAATCTAATGAGATCCCAAACATAGTCAACGGATTTCTCCACCTCCCTAAACAGCCTATTATTTCTCTCTTATTTGTTCGAGGAGCATGAATCCTAAATGTCTAGAATATTAAAGATCTACAATTGGATACGCTTTAAAATAAATTGCTTAGAAATTAGGTGCTTGTGTTTGTTTCACAAGCTTTCTTCAGGTGAATAAATTTATCTATTTAACATAAATGCCACGTGCACATCACTCTCTTTTATGAAAACTATTCTACTGTTTTGTTTGTAATTGCTAACACCTCCCTTTTGGTTTGATGTGATGCGATCATGAAAGCTGTTATTTTTAAATAATAAATAACATGGGTATCAATAATCATGTCTAAACTGCGAGTAATTGTGTCATTGTATTAATATCACAGTTTAACTCACATCTATCCTATTAGCTAATATATACATAAAGCTTATGTGATGTTATTGATGGAATTGGGAAGGATCCCATCTGGTGTTCAGTTATCATTTTTGTTAATGCTTGTTGGCTTTATTTTTATTCCTTGTCACGGGTATGTTTCTTTCTCTAGCTTTTTGTAGTTAGGGATCATTTTTCTCTTCCAAATCTAGATATAATATTGTGTTGTAGGATTGAGAAACCCTGAAATGTCTCCCTCTCCAACTCATCAATTCCATCAACATTCACCTGACCAGAGAATGTTTCATGCACGAGGGTTTAATGGATCTGGTTGCCATGGTGGCCCAGCGATTCCCAGGCCGTTTCCTATGGATCGAGGAACTCCTGGTATCTGGAGCGGACCGAGAAGCCCATTTGTCAACCAATTCCCTGGCCATCCTCCAAGGGGGATGAGCTCCCCCAGAAGCCCATTTGTCAACCACTTCCCTAGCCATCCACCAAGGGATATGAGCTCCCCCAGCATTGTTCCTGGACCAAGAGGTAATTCTTACACCAATCCAATGCAAGACAGGGTTAATTACCATACTCCTAGCCCTAGTTCAGGGTATGAAGGCAGTCCTAGCCCAGGTCGAGGCAGCCATGGTTTTTGTGGCAATATGACCCCTACTTCAAGATTTGGCTCTGGACGAGGTTCCAGTTATCATGGTCGTCACTTTTCATCGAACAAATCGCTCAGGCCCGAGCATTTTCCATTTTATAATGAATCCATGCTTGACGATCCCTGGAAAGATTTGCAACCTGGTATTTGGAGGACAACCGCTCGTGCCAACTCTTCGGAATCTTGGATTTCAAGATCCCGTATGAAAAAAGCAAGAGTTTCAGAACCTTTCAGCAGCTCAAGCTCTCAACCTAGCCTCGCCGAGTACCTGGCTGCCTCGTTCAATGAAGCAGTGGACGATGCACCAAGTGTGTGAAACTTTTATCCGGAGCTCCGTTGAAGCCATTTCATCTTACTGCAGATTCCAACCTAGTACAACTGCAACCAAAAGGAGAGTAATTTTTCTCTATATACTGGTTATAAATGTGGTAAAATTCAAAGGTAATCTATGGTGATCATGGCACAGTTATCTCTCCATGTTGGGTTACGACTTCTATGTACACTTTCTTCGGTTAGTTGCATGTTTTATCAACCATGTTTAGAGGATAATGGACATGATTTAGCTTTGTTTTGTTGTCTTATGATCCTCTCTATAAACAATTTAATATGATTGAGTTTCAAATCATTTTGCTGTTTCATCTTCTTAGTAGAACATATGCTGCTGAATGTGATCAATGGATAAATGGTGAAAGTAGGGAGGGGCCTTATATTTCCAAAACGAAAATGTGCAGGTTGTCCTCTACGGTAAATATTAAAGATTGAAACCTAAGAATCATGGATGTACAACACGACACAAATACACCCAAAACACCTATACAACACATAATACAAAGTCTATTACTTGAAAAAGTAGGATACGACACGTCAGGATTATAAACACGAAAAGATAATAAAGTTTACTCGAAAGGTAGAGTATGAAATTAAAATTTCAAACTATGTTTTAGGCCATTCACTTGTATGTGTAATTGAGTCTTGTTCCTACTATTTGTTCGTTGTACAATGGCTCTAAACCTTGGATGATAATTTTTGGTTTTCGATTAAAGAAGAAGAGAGAACTGCTTAAAAAATCATCTTTTCTACTATACAATAATTATTTAATTATAATTTGTTTCTAATTATGATAATCAAATCTAACACATTTTTAACAATTTTTATATTTATCATAATATTGATGTTGATAAAATAGTACAGATGTCTTAAACATTGAATCCTAACTAGGTAGCTAAACAAAGAAAATGAAATCGTACCAATGTGATATGTGAATCCAAACATTGTGAAATAGTTCCCTTTATTTCATATCGGTCAAATTCTCGTTTGCTATGGTAGCGGAAAAACTTGACATTAATTTAGCTCAATCTACTAAAAGAAGACTCAATTAATGATTTTATTGAGATATGAAAGGGCAGGCCTACCAAGCCATATGCTCAATGAGTGCAGGATTATTCGAAAAAGCGTAGGTATCAAAACTTGTCTTAGAAATCTTTCAATACGTTAGAAGCAAGACGAGGAGAAACAACTTCTTTGAATATGCTACGCACAAGTTGAAAATGAGTAAGAAGTGACGTGTTGCATAATTTGTGTAGTATTATAGTCGAGCACTTGAATGATTTCATCCATTGCTCTAACAACTCCAAACTAAGAAGTGACATACTACATAATTGATATGGTTGTTGCCGCCTTATTTATGAGATGAACTACTACCATGTTTAAAATCTCCATACTAAAACATAAAGATACCTAGCTCTAGGCAAAGCCGATCAAGTTCAAACTAATTCTAGAAAGACTCAATCAATCGAGCATGAGCATGAGAGAGTGTGTTGAAGGAGAAAAATTAAAAAAAGTCATCAAATATATTAAGACGATTGACTTAATTATTTTTTTTCCTCAAGAAATTACCATATAAACTAATTATTTCCCATGTCATTAATATAGCTAATGGAAAAGGAATATAGACTAGGTTAAACTAATTTTGAAAATGAAATGTTAGTTCTTGAAGCATAAAAAGACTAGACAAAACAAATAATGTTGAAAACTTGAGGGCTAATGCCATTTGGCCATCACCTTTTCTAGAAGACCCTTTTTTTTTTCCTTCCCCTCCTTTGTTCTTGTTTTCTACGAGAGATTCTCTTTATTAAACAATAAGAAAATATAACATTAATTAATTACCACATCATATATAATTAGTTAAGCAATTATACCTCTTCATGCTGAGTTGTGAACTTTTTTGAAACATGAGAAGAAAACACATGATGTTGAAAATTTGGAAGACTAAGCTGCAGAAAGTTGATTGGAGGGCAGAAGCCATCACTTTTTCTAGAACATCTTTTATTATTATTTTTTCTTTTGTTCTTGTTTTTCTGGAAGATGCTCATTTTCTTTCACATGAATTATTAGATCTACACATTCAAAATATATGAAATTTTTAGAGTTGCATAAAGGAAAAATAGTTGGAAAACACTTTTTTTTTTCTTCCTCTTTTAGAAAAGGATTAAAAACTAGAAAATATGCGTTTGCCGGGAGTCGAACCCGGGTCTATTGCTTGGAAGGCAATTATCCTAACCGTTGGACTACAAACGCATTTTGGTTGACATGTGCAAATTGAAAAACTTGTAATTTATGATTCGGTAGAATTTTAAGGGATTATTTATTTAATTTTATAATTAGAAGAAAATATTAAATTGGTATTCAATTTCAGTCGATATGTGAACATTAATAAAATCGACAAAATATAAAAAATATAAACAAAATATCACTAACATAGACATAATATTAATTTTAACCATTTTAAATTTGTTTAGAAGGGGTGAAATGCGTTAATTTAAATATTTTTTTCGAATTTTTTTAACCTTTCCAATTTTTCTTTCCTTTTTTTTAATAATATATTAAATTTTACACATTTTAACCTTAACAAAAACAAAATAAATTTTAATATCAAATAATATATTTATCAAAGTTTTTATATTTTTTCAATGCCAATGCCAAATCCGCATTTTAAAGTTTCAAAATCAAAATCTGAAAACAATAAAAACATAAAAATATTGTTCCAAACTTCCTACTGTGTTTTGATCAAGAATCCGAAAACAATTTAAAAAAATAAATACGTAAAACGTTACTAAAAGCATACAGAATCCAAATTTCCAATCAAACGGCATAATTTATCTTCCTCTTTACAACTTTTATGAGAACATGTGTGTGACATCAATATTGAAAATTTTTATATTTGAGGAAACACACAAACAAACTTTTAAAGCAAGATCATAAAAAAGAAGAATGATATATATGTAGAGTAGAAATTGAAGAGGGAGAGCGGGCGGCCTATATTTGCAAATAATATAATGTGAATTGTGAGTGGACTTCTAACTTTAATCTTTAATCAAATTATATTCAAAGTTTTTGCCTTTTATTAAGTTGCTTTCAATGCCTTTGAAAATTTTGTCGGTATTTTTAGGGTTCAAAATTGAAATTTCAAATATTTTTCTATCCAATTCTAGCTCACTGGTATTTCCATATTTTTTTAGGTCATATGTTGGAATATCCTCATTCTGAAATTTAAAGGACAAATACTAAATAGTAAGGCCTTAACTTATGTAATATAATATAACTAAATATATATGTAAAACTTATCATATTCAAGGGAGGTCGCATGTTTGCCACGTAGTTTTTGAATTAATAAAGAATTAAGCAATGATCATTAGGTTTTTTAGTAGGCAAATTGAACTAAACTAGCTATTATTTAAAATCATTTTTTAAAGACAACAAATCAATATGGTCTGTTTTAGTTTTATAACACATAAATTAAATGGACTCAGAGCTTTCAATTCTCACCCTTTTAAATAGCATAAACAATTAACTAAATTAGTCATCTAATTGGTTTGGTTTGGTTCGGTTCCTTTTTTTGGTTTTATTCACACCTCACTCTTACAAATAGGACTTTTCAACCAAAATGATATTTTTATGATGAGCATAATTAATTAGTGCATGTTCAAATAAATAAATAGTTAAAACTAGAAGAAAACAAAAGAGATTTTGATGACAAAGTTGATAGAAGAGAGTATCAAGGGGAGTTCATGTTTGGAATATGCTTTGTTTTTAACACTTTTAAAAGTTTAAACCTTATCTCTATCTCTGATGATTGAATAACAAGAAATGCATAACATCTATCAATTTTCGTCGACATACCAAATTGTTATCGACATTTTCATATATGTTGTTTTAGCTGTCTCGAGGTTAGTCGATATTTATATAGCATCGCAAATAAATAGATAAACTACAAAAAGTATTAACAAAATATCAATAATATAAACAAAATATTAATATTAATAATTCTAAACCTATTTAAAAATCATAAAATTTTTATTTGTGAATTTAAATATTTTTTATGAATTTTTATATATATATTTTTACAATGATAGGAAGGTTATATGGTTCATGATATAATTTGATATGATTTAAGATTTAGATAGGATATGATTTAAGTTACCTATTAGTAATTAGAATTACATTTAATTTTAGATATTATTTTGATTTAGATGTTTTATTTCTATTACGAGAAATTATCCAATTATAAATAGGATGCTGTGTTTCTTTTCAGAGAAGAAGAAAAAGGAATACAATGAAATCATGTTTTATTATTCTCTCAATTTCCTCTCCCCCCTAAAATTTATCAACGATACTTTCACTAATATATTTCTTTTAAGACCAAGACTTCGATATTTCCATTGTGACATCATATTCATGCAGATCCAAGTGGCATCATCTCAAGTTTCCACTTTACCACAAAGATTCTCTCAGACAAAAAATGAAAACTCAATCCAAAACCACCCTAAAACTTTAATTTCCAAAGAAAGCACAAACACACATCCACTCCCAAGTGCTTCTCCAATGTCATGCCCACGCTCACTTGGGTCCCTCCCAAAGAGTGATCTTTTTCCAAATATCAATTAATAAATAAGAGAAAAGGTATTTCAAAACTTTCTTTTTCCCGATCTTGAAATTTCGAGGATCGGGAAAAAGAAAGCTTGATTACAATACATAGTATTGTTTATAATCACTTAAACGTGGCGATAGAGATTCTTTACACCATTTTGTAAGTTAGGGAATTCAATAGAGTTATCAACTATTTCAGCTACGTCCCTATTTTGAATGAATTTTGGTCAAGAATATATATAAATTATAAGTGATCTTATGTGAAGTTATCGTAATGAAACATATGTATTTACTCAAAATGATTACATAATTGAGAAGTTGAAACTCTTGTCATTAGGAACATCTAAGAAAAGTAATAAAAAGACTTTAGAATAATGAGTTTAAATTAAACACCACGAGATATTATTTTTTAAAAAAAAAAACTAATGAATTTCTTCACCATAAAAAACTTTATATCAAAACAAAGAGCACAAGCATCCACCCACAAGTTCTCAAATTATTAGGAAAAGGAAAACACACCTTCATTTTTATGTCATATTCACTGCTAACTTGGGTCCCTCTTAAAAGTGATTCCAGTCCAAAAGAAATTCTAGTTAGTGTGGTCATTTTATGAGTATGTCCCTCTTCATACTTTTGATGGATTTGGTGTATAT